CTTCCTTCCTTCCTTCCTTCCTTCCTTCCTTCCTTCCTTCCTTCCTTCCTTCCTTCCTCCTGCCTGAGTACCTACATACCTACATACCTATGCATGTACCTACACACTTACCTGCCTACCTATTTGTAGTACTGATGTATTGAACTTGTGCTTACTAAGCAGGTACTGTAACATTTCAGCCACTATACCACTACCTTTTTGCATTGATTATTTTTGAGATAAGATTTCACTTTATGCTTGGGTCAGCCTGGATTGCAATCTCCAATTAATCACCAAAGAGCTGGGAGTGGAGCTGTGGCTTAAGTGGTAGAGTGCTAGCCTTGAATGAAAAAGTTTAGGGAGTCATGCTGGTGGCTCACGCCTGCAATCCTAGCTACTCAGGAGGCAGACATCTGAGGATTGCACTTCAAAGCCAGAGGAAAGTCTGTGAGACTCATCTCCGATAACCACCTGAAAACTGGAAGTAGAGCTGTGGCTGAAAGTGGTAGAGTGCTAACCATGAACATAAAAACTCAGAGGCAGCACCCAGGCTCCCAGTTCAAGCCCTACAATCAAAACAAACAAACAAAAAACAAAACAAGAAAGAAAACTCAGGCACAAACAGCCAGGCTACAAGTTTAAACCTCATATCAGCACACACACACACACACACACACACACACACACACACACACACACACACCCCAAGCTTAACATTCTTTTGACTCTAATGTGTCTTACTTTGGGTGTTTATGTATCCTCTGGTTGTTTATAAACTCTTTTATTTTAATCTGAGTCCTCCATCTCTGGGAAATTTAATGATCAGTTTTCTTTAAATATTTTTTTTTATTTAGTGCTAATTCAGATTCCTCTTGTTTTTTCTATTCCCTGCTGTCTGGATCTCAGACCCTCTGCTTTGATTTCTCTCATCAGTGTCCTCTACTCTTCAGCTCTTCTCTGTTCTGTTTTTATATCCATCATCATCCTATTTATCTCATCTATTTTGTTCTTTTTTATTTTTTTTTGGTCGATCATGGGGCCTGAACTCTGGGCCTGGGCTCTGCCCCTCAGCTCTTCAGCTCAAGGCTAGCACTCTACCACGTGAACCACAGCCCTACTTCTGGCTTTTTCTGCTTATGTGGTGCTGAGGAATCGAACCCAGGGCCTCATGCATGCAAGGCAAGCACTCTATCACTGAGCCACCTTCCTAGCCCCCTATTGTGTTCTTTTTTTTAACTTTTTTCTTCATATTGCTCTTGATTTGTGTGACTTCTCCATCATCTCTTGCTTTGTGAGTGACTCTGCCTCACATTGTACATATTCAACAGGTTACCTTTCTCTTGTGGTAGTTATATTCCTCCGGTGTCTAATTTGGTTTGAGAGCTCCTTTTCTTAGGATTTCATATTCCTTGTTTGGGGATTTGTAAGGGAAAGCGTGAAAGCCGGGACAGTGGTTTGTGTGTCCTGAAGGAAGTTTAGGAAGGGGAAGAGGTGAGTTGTAGATATTCCCCAGACACTGTGGCCCAATCTTTCAGCTTGCTGCTATTCCTCCAAATGGCACTCACTGCTCTGGGGTTTGCCTTTAGGCTCCTACAAAGAGGCAGCAGGTGGCCTTCTTGTGTTGTCCTAGACCAGCTGGCAGGCTGTCCTCATAGGATGTGATCCTCCCACTCCTGACTCCTGTGGCGTATAGAGTCCGTGTGGAAGAGAAGCTGGCATTGTATTAGGGCAGTGCTAGGGTAAGATGACACAGTTCCTGCTTGGTAAGGGGCCTGGGGGAGCGCCATGGAGGAGCACTCACTGGACTTGCAGTGTTTGTGTGAGAATCAGGGTGGCCATGAGATGTTTGGGAACAGGAAGGGGTCTTGATGACTAGGAACTGGTCTGTCTGCCAGGTGTAAATCTGGAAGGAGAAACAGGGAGAAGAGTATGCAGGATTGCTAAGCCAGCAAGAGAGGGAAAATAGCCATAAACACGGACAAGGCTTGACTAAGCTAAATGCATCAGATCAGATTTAGAAGACGATTGTTTAGCTGGGTGTTGGCAGGCAGCGCTAAGAAGTGTATGTCACTGAGGGACGTACATCGAAGGAAGAGATTTGCCACGCAGAAGCTCCCTTTCTTTCCATCATCACCCTCGACTCGATTACTTCTCTTACGCATGACAGCATTGGGCAAGCGGGGTTCAAACACGAAGAGTCAACTTCTACGTAGCTGCTTTCAAGCTCAAATGCACTCTCCCACTCGTGGTGCGAATCCTGCTGCTTGCTGTGGCTGCAGCAGCTGGCTGTTCTATTCTTTCCTTATTTTCTTTCAGATTAAATGCTCACTGCTTCAGATATGTGTTTACCTGAAGCCTAACCCCTTATCTGCCATATCAGAGAAGCATTTTTTTTTTTTCCTGTCGTGGGGCTGGTGCTGTCCCTCAGCTCTTCATCTCAAGGTGAGCACTCTACCATTTGACCCACAGCACCACTTTCGGTTTTCTGGTGGTTTATTGGAGATAAGAGTCTCACTGACTTGCCTGCCCTGACTGGCTTTGAACTGCGCTCCTCAGATCTCAATCTCCTGATTAGCTAGGATTACAGGTGTGAGCCACCGGCGCCTGGCCAGAGCAGCTTTTAATAAGTTTGTAAATGGTGCAGCAGGACACAAAATCCCTGTGAAGACCAAGTCTATTATAGAGATCATTAGGAGGGTGTGCTTACCCCTTCTAAACCTATTCTATTTACCTACTCTATCTGTCTGTCTTCTCTCATCTCTCAACTATATCTGTCTAGCGATATATGTATCTATATATCTATCTATGATCTACCTTGTGTGTGTGTGTGTGTGTGTGTGTGCTGGTCCTGGGGCTTGAACTTAGGGCCTGAATGCTGTTCCTTAGCTTTTTCACTTAAGGCTGGAATTTAACCACTTGAGCCACACCTCCACTTCCAGCCCTTTTTAGTGATTATTTGGAGATAAGAATCTCATGAACTTTTCTGCCCAGGCTGGCTTCAAGCCTTGATTCTTAGATCTCAACCTCCTAAGTAGCTAGGATTATAGGCATGAGCCACCAGCACCCAGCTGGAGCCTGCATTTTTAAAGAATCTCTCCAGTGGAGCCTGTTGCAACACTTCGGTATACTGTGTATTAATTTTTGGCCTGCCTTTTTGCAGTGTAGTGGCATCCGGTTTAACACCAGATTTCAAAGCAGTTCTTTGTTTAGTAACCTAGTTGGGACAAGCTTCCTTATAGTCTGTCTTCACTTCTTACATTTTTGGATAGTTTGTAGATGATAACTAGAATGACTTCAATGAAGATCAGCTTTAACTTCTCCTATTTCCCCTGCCCCCTCCTCCCCTGCCCCCAATCCTGGCTCTTGACAAAATCTATGGGAGTAAAGTTAAACTGATATTTTAATTTCGGTTAAAATTTTTTTTTTGTTAGAGTAGTCATTTATTTTCTTAAAGAGTTTATATGCCGAGGTCATTTTCTTAAATAGTACACACACTATTACACCTAAGGCTTGAATGTTTGTGTGAATCAAACTGTGAAATTTAACTTATAACATTGTTTTTTCCTTTTAAAAAAAATACCCTGTTTAGAACTATTTTGGTGGAAAACTCTCTGCTCAAGGGAAAATGCCTTGGATTGAATATAATAATGAAAAAGTTTCTGGCACAGAATTCATAATTGACTTTCTGGAAGAGAAACTTGGAGTGAATTTAAACAAAAACCTTGGCCCTCATGAAAGAGCTGTGTCGCGAGCGGTGACGAAGCTGGTGGAGGAGCACTTTTACTGGTGAGTCCCCTTTTACTGGCCTATCCCCTCACTGAAGGAGGGAGCCCATGTTCGGTTCCATCTTTCAATGTTTCTTCCCACCCTCTCAGTTTTCTGTTAAATACTCAGGACTTAAATACTTAGGATGAGAAAACTGACTGACTCCTGGTCATAGTGACAGCTGTTCTTTCTGGCTGTCTTGATAAGAGGTTGAGAGACATTTCCTGCATTGAACCAACTAACAAAATGCATAGGCTCTGTGGGCCGTATGCCTCTGTGGCTGCTGCTACACCCTGCCATTTTATTACTCAAGCAGCCAAGGAGTATAAGCCAGTGACTAAGCCTGCTTATGCATGGTTCAACTAGATTGTGGTCATTGAAACATAAATTCCATTTAATACAACATAGTCTTCTTTTGATTATTTTCCAACCATTTAAAAATGGAAGGGCTTCACAGTGTATGCACTGAAGTTTTCTGGGCTTTTGATCTAAACTGTGACTTTCCTAGAACAGGGAGATATTTTAGTTGCCTGAGGTCAGGATTCTTCCTTCACCAATAGGCAGGGCTGACTTTCACTATTCCATCAAATATCCAAAGGAGGGATGGAAGACTAAGTCAAGATCCAGTGCCTAGGTGACATCAATTACATAACTCTTGTGGTGCTGCTGTCAGTGTTCCTGAAATAACCACTCTCTGTGAATTGTATAGCATATGGTTTCTGCAGTTCCTTTGCCCTTATTGTTCAATGCCGAGCTTGGAGTCCTCCAATGTGAAACAGCACAATTGTGGTGATGACTTGCCCAGTTCTGCTTGTGGGTCAAGATCTTCTTGCTTTGCAAACTCATTTCTCTTGCTTTCATCCAGTTTCTGGCATATCTGCCCCTTTCTCAACACTCTGATAATTGGGAAAAAGTTTTTCTCTGATTTTAATTCATTTGATTTTTGTCCCAAAGGTTTAATGAAGAATTGTTAAGCCCATACTTTTGGTATAATTGCTACTTCTAGACTAGATACCATCCAGGAGCTTACTAATCACCTCCTTCCCACTGGGAGATACTCACTGTGGGACATGAATTGTAGAAGATTGTTCTTCATCCTCTGCCTCTTTCATCCATTCTGCTTTCTTTCTAGAGGGAAAACTTTCTGTTCCTGTCTCTGACATTTCAAGTAACTGCCTCTTTTCTTGTTCTCACCTTTGGCTCTCTACTTTCTCTCTCCACTTGCTGCAGAAGTGAAGGAGGGCTGAGGTGGGAGGGGTCTAGGATAAGGGTGAAGATGTGCAGATCAGTGTGGAGACTAGACTAGTAGAAGGAACTTGGGTGTTTTCCATACAATGCCTATGGAGAGCTGCTTCCGATCTGCTCTGAGTAGAGGAGTCACCATGGCTCTGTATGACTTAATTGACTTCTGGGAAGAAGCTTGTGGGATTGAGGCCATCTCACCTGATAGCCAAGTTCTAGATCCAGCTCTGCAGTAATGCAGAGAAATGAAGAGCTTGTGTAAGGCCACCTCGATCCTCATGCCTTCTTTTGATAAGGTTCACCAAAACCATTTATCATTTGATAAATGGGTTCATTAATATAGAGAATTAGCACAGTCAGCTGCCTGAAAGAAGAAAATCCTATTTTTTTGGGGGGGGTCCAGTTGTGGGGCCTGAACTCTGGGCTTGGGCACCGTCCCTCAGCTCTTCAGCTCAAGGCTAGAACTCTACCACTTGAGCCTCAGCGCCACTTCCGGCTTTTTTCTTTTTGCTTATGTGGTGCTGAGGAATCAAACCCAGGGCCTCTTGCATGCAAGGTAAGCGCTCTACCACTGAGCCACCTTCCCAGCCCCGAAAATCCTATTTTTTAAATTAGTAATTTGGTCACAACTTGTTAATTTTTTTGGGGGGGGTCCGGTCGTGGGGCCTGAACTCTGGGCCTGGGCGTTGTCCCTCAGCTCTTCAGCTCAAGGTTAGCGCTCTACCACTTGAGCCACAGCACCACTTCCAGCTTTTTTCTTTTTTGCTTATGTGGTGCTGAGGAATCGAACCCAGGACCTCAGGCATGCAAGGTAAGCGCTCTACCACTGAGCTACCTTCCTAGCCCCATCAACTTGTTAATTTCTTTATGGTCTCAAAAATACATATTGTGGCTAGAAAATTTCTGATTCAGCAAAATTCCCATCTCCCACATGGCAGTGCCTTTTGCTCTGAGCATGTGTGTCATATTACATGTTTTTATTGCCTTGTAAAAGTTCATGGACTACCCACCCCATCTCTGTCCACACCAGTGCCCAACTGTGAGGAACTGCAGGCTGAAGATGTAGTGAGGAGGGAGAAACAATTGGTGGGTGGTATTTTGGTAGAGACGGATCTTCATTTTATGCATCATACACTTCTTGATTTGCTATATATATGTATATATTACATATATATTTCAAAATATATATTCCCCTAAGTATAATTTTATTTCTTGAATTCACTTTTTAATTAGAAAGATTTTTTTTTTGTCAGTTGTGGGGCTTGAACTCTGGGCCTAGGCTCTGTCCCTCAGCTCTTTAGCTCAAGGCAGGAGCTCTATCACTTGAGCCACAGCACTACTTGTGGTTTTCTTGTGGTTTATTGGAGATAAGAGTCTCATGGACTTTCTTGCCTGGACTGGCTTTGAACCCTGATCCTCAGATCTCAGCCTCCTGAGTAGCTAGATTACAGGCATGAGCCACCGGCACCTGGCTAGAAAGATACTTTTTTTTTTTTTTGGTCGGTCATGGGCCTGAACTCTGGGCCTGGGCGCTGTCCCTCAGCTCTTCACTTTGAGGTTAGCGCTCTACCACTTGAGCCACAGCACCACTTCCAGCTTTTTTTTCTACTTATGTGGTGCTGAGGAATTGAACCCAGGGCCTCATGCCTGCATGGCTCTACCACTGAGCCACCTTCCCAGCCCCTAGAAAGATACTTTTTATGCAAGGTTAGCTTTCATTATCTACTTGTAAAGGTGAAGGACAGGTCTGGATTGGAAAGCAAATATTTAACTTTCAAATAGTATTTCTAATTCCTCCAATTCCCTTTTGTTTCTATAATAAGAAGGAAAATAAACCTTTGTCTGTTCCTTGAGATTCCTAAGCCTTTGGTCAGAGTTTTGCTTTGAGAAGATCCTGAAGAGACTTTCCTAAGAGCTCTAAGTCCCGAGCAAAGAATTCATGGATACTTTTCTCCTCCTTTCCCTTCTGGCTCCAGTGACCAAACACAAAATGTCCACCTGTGGAAGCCAGGCCCAGCATAGATAACTGACCTCAATATGTGGGGAAATACTAAACTTTCCTGTGAGATCGTCTAACATTCTGACAATCATTGAACTTCTAGGTTGTGCCTGTACTCACAGTGGTAAAGGATATCCAATAAACCCATTGCATTTATTGTTTAATTAACTTGAGTTTCAGGATTGTTTTATTATGCAATAATTATATGACATTGCATAACTATGGAGCTCTATCTTAGTTCTGCTCAACTAAGCATACTTATTTACATTTGAAATCTATGCACATGCCTTTGTACATTGTAAAGATTATTGCTGAAGATGAGGAGGACTGCTTTTTCTTATTCCCTTTGCTCTGCTGAATGTTTAAGTTAGAGCTGATGAGGAGAAACTGGTATAAAAGGATCCCTAAGAGACTGGAACGAAATTGATTTTTGGTAACTGTAGTTTCTGCTGTAGTGTGACATTCTGCCCCCTTGTGGACATCAGTAATGTACTACTTTCTTTTATAAAGTATTCCTGGTGTCAACAGGTTACCTAGTCATAATATTTTAACTCAGAAAAACATTAGGCTAGTGAATTCAAATTTGCTCTAATTTAGCCATAATTAATTAATTGTTAGCCTGGTCTTTTATTTTAAAAAAACAACAACAACTGAGGATTGAAACCTAATTCCTGCTGTGCTAAGCAAGCACTCCACTAGTGAGCTCTATCCTCAGTCCATGCTTGGCTTTTATGTAGTTTCAATAACTGAGAGATGAATTGCTTTCGTAAGATGACTGACGAAAGAGGATCGTAAGTTCTGGTGGGTTATGCCTGTAATCCTCCTACTCAGGAAGCTGAAATCCTAGTTTGAAGCCAACCTGAGTAGGAAAGTCTGTGGGACTCTTATCTCCAGTTAATTACCAAAAAGCTGAATGTGGAGCTGTAGCTTAAGTGGTAGAGCACTAGCCTTGAGCAGAAAAAGCTAAGAGATAGCGCCCAGAGCCTGCATTAAAAATCCCAGTACTGTGGTGTGTGTGCATGCATGAGCCCCGCATGAGCATGCACACACGCACATAGATAGACAGATACACACACACACATAATTAAAAATAAATAAATGAAAGCAAGCCAAGACATATACCCCAATTCTAACTGAATGGATATTTTCTTTTCTTTTTTTCCCCATTCTTCCTTATCTAGTTTAAGCTTTCATAAGGCTCTCGTTTGGAAGGGCTTGTTTTGTGAAACAAAACAAAACAAATCTCCCATCAACTCCTACATCTTCTAACAAGTAGTTAGAGTACCAGCAAAAGACGGCAGGGAGGTATGCCCACATGAGAAAGACATTCTCCTGAGTGGAGAGCCCACATTCTGAGACTCAACAGTTTGCCATGGTTGGCAGTTTTCTACATGTAATATTTGTTTCTATCATGGGCCTGGCATCATATTAGGTTATAATAAGAGATAGCATTAAGATGGGGAGTGTAGCTTAAGTGGTAGAGCAATGCTTAAGAAGCACAAGGCTCTAAGTTCAATCGCCAATAATGTCCAAAACAAAAACAAAGAAGTACTCTGAGAGATATCTTCATTAAAACACCAGGCATTAGCATTTCTTTGCCTTCATGATCATTTAAAAAGCTTGAGTGGATTTTATTCTTCTATGATAATTTTTTTAAAAATACTCTTTGATCCCATTTTTGAAGGAGAGGTCAGATACATTAGTTGCAACAGGGAAAATGAATATCTCAAATTCCTGAAATAGACTCTTGAATGATAAATACTTTAATTGACTTGCCCAG